TATTTGAGGTCTTGGGAAGAGGTTTTCTTCGGTGCCTCTGCTGAAGACTCCTTACGCTGGGGAGGAGGGAGAACCTTGAAGACACTTTTCCCCATGCTGACTCAGTATTGCTACTCCTAGTCCTTCCCCTTCATCCTTCTCCTCTACTCCTACCCCTTCCCCTTCATCCTTCTCCTTTACTCCTACCCCAGGGTCCATAAAACTGTTGGAGACTTTTGTTCAGGGTCCCCGCAACAGTGAGAATACCCCCATGTCTGCACTGATCCACCCGACCCTTCACTGGTGTGCCTCACAGAGAAAGAAAGAATAAGAATCTAGAAGAGATTAAGAGTCATGAAGAGTTAGTCTGAGAAGCTCTAGTAGTTTCTAGAAGAAGAGACTGGAGTAAATGGTAGATAAAATAACAATCTTTGAAGGATAAGGGTTGTGAATATACAAAATTGAGAAAGCCAGGAGTCCTCAGATCAAAAATGCATTCTAAGTACAAAGCAAGATAAATAAAAATAAATCCACACCCAGAAATATTGTGGTGAAGCTGCTAAACATAAAGCATAAAACTTTTTTTCAAACTTACAAAGAAGAATCATCAAATTGATTCTTTTCATTCTTTAAAAAAGGCAGAAAGAATACCTACAAAACACTGACAATGAGTTTGAAAGCTCCTTAGCAACCGTAAATCAGAGAAGACAATGGAGCAATAACTTCTAAATGAATAAGACACAAGAAAGAAAAATAAAGCAAATTATAACATTTTGATTCAATGGACTAATACAATTTCAAAAATTATAAAAATGAAAAGCATTTAGAAATTTTAGAAAATATATATGAAATGATATTAATAAAACTCTTTCAGAGATTTGCATACATATTGTGATCACAACTATAAATAACTATTTTTACTCTCTTGTCTGTTACTTTGTAGTAAGGACCAGAAAAGTGATTTTTAAATAGTAGAAGGAGTTGAATACTTTTCAATAGAGGCATCTGTAGGAAGAAGGAATGAAAGAAAGTGAAAATGAAACCAAGAATGGGTAAATACTCTCAGAGGGCGTTAAAAGTGTTCTTGTAATTTTGAGGTCCTGGAACCTGGCCCTGTGGCCCGGCAATGTAAGAAGGGTCAGCTCTGTGGAACAGATCAGCAATAGAGGCAAAAATCTTGGCTATAAAGGAAGGGCTACAAGTGTTTCTGTTTACATAAATCTCAACTGTACTGAGGGGGCCAAAATCCCCAGTTGCATACTCTGAAAATGGTATTAAGATCTCCTCTCACAAAGGAAAAATAAGCCAGTCTCTCAAACCCTTGCTTCTTCCCAGAGGAATCTGTCTGCCATTGGAGCCTGTCTATTCCCTACCAATTTCACTCTTTCTCCCAAACAATCCTACACTTATCCTATTTAGTGACTGTCTTTCACTAAATTAACTTGTCTGACACCCCATTCTCTCTGAAACCTACTAAACACTGTACTAAAATGATCAACTACTTTGGGGGAAAGATATTCCCTACTGGGTCGCATACATGTATTTCAAAAGACTCTGAAACAGTAGCTTAACACAAAAGAGTGGCTCCAATGGGAGAACTATTGGGCTCCATGACAATTCTTTGGGAACTGGGGAATTAGGTCTGAATCATAACCTCCAGGTGGTGATTTTCATGACTGCTCTCAACAGCAGCAGGAGATGGGAATCAAAGTAACCATAGAAACATAATCCCCATGCAACCATCCACACGGGAACCTGCAAAAATCTGGGGGGAAACAATGGACCTTTCCATAGGATGTGGAATGCGGGTTTGAGCCAATTTTATGTAAACCTTGAAGTGGAGAAAGATGCCCAACTACACTCCAGGTATATTAATTGAACCAGAGGTATTGTTCAAGAGAAATGGGAAGCACTAGGACCCAGAGAACCTCTAAACAATAAGAGAGCAACCACCAAAAGTCAAACTAGAAAGAAACTTCCTTGTGATGTGTGAACTACTGATTTTCCACATACCACTCTGGCTCCAGCTTTCAAGCGTTGCAGAGGTGCTGAGGTACCCACAAACAGAGCTTGACAGTTAGAAGTGCCTCTGCAAGTGGCACTTAGAAATTCCTTTAGCTTTATAAATACAAAGCACAAATTGTAATCTAATTCTGCAAGGTCACGGCTGCCCCTCGCCCTTTTCAATCTTAAACTCTCATCCAATTTTCACCTTAAGGGCAGAGGCAGCATCTATAATGTCTAATTTCCACATCCAGGGGAGGACACAGAAGACATGGGGAGAAAAGGCAAAACAGAATTATTTCCCTGTACTGTTCTATCTTTGCCATCAAATAAATTATTCAGCCCTGCATTTTTGCTGTGGATTATCTGGGCCAACTCATCTCCTTTCTCTTTTTGGATGCCTGCCCATGGCCAGGTCACTGCTCACCAGCCCAGTAAGCAGAGATGTGTCCTGAGAAAAAAGACAGATAGAAATTCAGATTGATTCTTTTCCATCTTTAAAACAGAATGGAATCTGTTTTGTTGTTGTTCTTGTTGTTTTTAATCGTGTGTGAAGTATTGGCAATGTTATCTTCTAATCAGGTGTCACCATTTTCCTATCGCACTTGAAATTTGTACTGCCAAAAATCTAATCACTTGTTCTCTCACCACCGTAAAACTTAAACGGTTACCATTTGGGGGAGTTAAGGTTTCTCTTTAAGGTTTCAATATTGATAACTCTTCTCTCAGAAGCTAAGAATTGTCCAAGCAGTTTCAAAGGCATGGCAAGGGCAAAAGTGACAGCTGGACTCAGTTTTGATAGGGTGTCTCAGCTTTATTCTCACTTTCAGGGTGCAGAGTCGGAAAGTTTCGGGGAAAATGGTATCTCAGTTCAGGTTTTTCTGAAAATTTGTTTTCAGGCAATTTTTCTTCCCTCTCTCCCAAGTGTTAAGAGCTGGGCTGGTCACTGTGATCAGAAGGGCCAGGGCCCAAGCTTTAGGGACAGCTGAGGTGTTGGCTGCAGGGAGGTGGAAGGTGAAGCTGATAGAGAGCTTGTGTACTTGGCTGAAGCACAAGCCACATTATACACCAAAGTTGTTTTGTTCCCTGAGGAACAAATCCTACCATTTATGAATTGTTCACTAGCAAGAGTTAGGAGAAGCAGCATAATGTCAAGGTTAAGTGAATAGATGCTAAATCTACACTGCTGGATGTGAATCCAAGCTCTGCCACTTATTGGCTATGTTGATTCTTCAAATTACTTAACCTCTCTGGTCTTTCGCTTCCACATCTGTAAACGGGGGAACCATAACAAGACCTAAAGCAGAGAGCTATTGTGACATTTAAATGAGCTGATATTTATAAAATGCTTATAACAGTGCCTGGCACAAGGTAAGCGCTACATCTATGTATTTGCCAAATAAATAAAATAAGAAGTGGGATGGGAAGGGGTTCCGGCTGGATAATGTTCTCTAGAGCCTTGTCTTACCCCATTTCTCCCTTGCTCTTGCTCACACAAACCTTCCGCCTCCCCAAGAGCTAACGTAGCAGGTCACAGGCCCTAGGAGGTAGAAGCTGCTGTTGTGACCTAAGTCAATGAGGTGATCAGTTAGCACCTCTACAGACCTCACAGTCATGGACTCAACAAGCTCCTTGGTGCTAAGCAGAAAACAGAAATCACAAAAGGCCTGTCCTGGCTGGTATCAATCTGAGGGATCATCTCTCCCTAGAACCCTGACCCACAGCAGGCACAAGGACAGTCGCCAAGCGCCTGGTCTGTGGTCATCTGGTGGAGGTGAGCCCTTGGCCAGCCTGGCTAGTCGGGGGCAGCCTGCGTGCTACTGCAGTCAAACTGCAGACTCAGCTCCCCCTCCCTCTCTGCCCCAAACCATGTGTGGGATGGCTTCCCTCTCAGCGCTGAGGGAAGGGAAAATGAGCAGCAGGAAGGGGTGGGACAGGTGAAACTAAAGACACTCAGTCACAGGATGTGCGGCAGGAACCTCGGCCAGCCCGTTTACAGATGAAGAAACTGAAACTCAGAGATGAGCAGCAAACAGGGAAGATCCGAGTTTTGTGAGGCCTGACACTGCAAAAATGTCTTTGGGGTAGGGGGAGGGGCTCTTTCAGGAAAAAAAAAAATACAGAATTCAAATGCAAAATGCCCACATTTTGCCTACAATGCCACCCAACTGGAGGAGAATGTGAAGATAGAAAAGTCTCAGTGGAAAGAGACAGTGGTCTTAATTTATTGTGGTTAAAATATCTTGCTTACTGAAATTTTACCAAAGTGTAAGACCTGTGCCCACACTGCTAGGGCTCTTCATGGAGTCTTGGGGGAGCTTTTGAAAGATCTTGTGCAAGTGAGAAACTCTGAAGCTCAGTTTCATTAGCTTCATGGTAAATCGGCTGATGCAACTAGCGGAACGTCACTGAAGTAGGTAGTAGCAGGGCTGGGTTTCTTGATCCTCCTGGTAAGCGGTGGCAACTGTGATCTATGGGTGTGGGCTGATGAGGAAGGCAGTGGCGGGGGGGTGGGGCGAGGGGAGAAGGTAGGGAACGTGGAACCTGATTCTCCTTAATGGAAGGAAACTTTTAGAAGCCCATGAGCTGTTTCCTAAAAGCCTGAGAATGCCAGAAATGGGGACAGAGAAGATCAGAAGGGAGTATGTGTGGAGCAAAAGAGTTAAGCCTCAGGGTGTCAGAGCAGGAACTTTCCCCTGGCTCCCCAGGTGCCGCTGGACAGGCCCCCCTACCCTACTTTGTGCAGCCAGTACCGTGGGTGCAAGATGGCAGAGGAGGAGGATGCACAGAGGGGCAGGGCTCCATCCCAGGCTGGGCCTGCCATCAGCAGAGATACCTGCTCTCAATCAGGATGCTTCCTTCTTCTCCAGGAAAGTCTTTTTTGCGTATGGTATTGTGCAAAGCTGGATAGAAAGTGAGTAACACCCACCATGTCTCCGGCTGGCGCTTGCAGTGGTCAGACTCATCGAGAGACAGTGGAAGGATTCTAGGACTTTACAAAGCCAAAAGGTTCTTACCAGAAAGCAGGAAGGCCATCACAAAGAGAGTGTTACTCAGTCCCATAGTGCTAGAGTTAAAAAAGAAAAGATAAAACTTGATTAGAAAATGAAACCGAAAACCAAAACATGACAAGTGGAGTTTGGGATTCACTTAGGTTCATGGGAGTGGCAGAGGCAGTGCTATGGGTTCATGAGAGCTGGTTCCTTTTCCTCCTTCTTCCACAGGTACCCCCTATTCCCCAGCCTCCCCAGCAGTTAGGTGGGACATGTGATTGGGTTCCAGCTAATGGAATTGTGGGCAGGAAAGACGGGTGTTACTTCCAGACCTGCCGCTAAAACCTCCTCTCTCTTTCCTCCCTCCCCTGCCTCCTTGGACTCAGAGGATCCAGAGGAAGAGTCCAAGGGCCAAGAGGATGGCAAAGTCTCACTATGGAAGGAAGCTGGCTTTCTGAACCAATTACTAAAACAGCTCTCTCCACCCCACAGTGATCCATATTGGACTGTGACATGAGCAAAAAGTAAACTTTTATTGTGTTAAGCTAATGAAATTTGGGGGATAGTTTATGGCAGTAGCTAGCATTACTTATCTTGACCAGTGCAATGGGTATAACGGGCAAATGGAGAGTATTTATGTTTAGAAATCAACTTTCCTTTGGTTTCCCTGTGGTTCTCAAACTTTAATATGCACCAGAAGCATCTGGGAGAGCACGTTAAAGCAGTTTCCTGGGCCTTGTCCACAGAGACTGTGACTTAGTAGCTGGGTGAAACCCATGTCTTACAAACTCACAGGTGAGGATGATGCTGCTGGTTTCAAGACCCCACTTTGAGAATCACTCAGAGTATTCACTTAAACTCCATGACCGAGCCATGGAAAATGACAGGCATTGCTTCATAACCTCTGTCCTCTCTTTCCCCCTCTCCCTCCCTCCCTCTTTCTTCACTCACCCACTTACCCCAACTTAGACCAAAATGGCTGTAGAGTGGCTTACAGGGAAGCATAGAATAAGGAAAGATGACTAACACTGGAAACAGGTGAAAAGCAAACCAAACGCAGAAATATAAAATGGAGCCAAGTACAAGGCCAATGCTAAATGCTTACCATAGAAAATCCGCCCACCCTGCGTGGTGTGGGTCACAGGTTTGGCTTGTAGCTTTTTGTTGTTGTTGTTGTCGAGGGATATTCGCCCTGAACTAACATCTGCTGCCAATCTTCCTCCTTTTTTCTCTTTTGTTTGAGGAAGATTTGCCCTGAGCTAACATCTATGCCAATCTTCCTCTATTTTGTATGTGGGCCACCCCCACAGCATGGCCACTGATGTGTGGTATAGGTCAGTGCCCAGGAACCAGGCCCAGGTCGCCAAAGCAGAGCACGCCGAACTTAACCACTAGGCCATGGGGCCAGCCCAGCTTGTAGCTTTTTAACAGCCAAAGTGAAAAGGAAAACCTAACTCGTGAATTAATTTACAGATCTGTCCATCAGATAAACACAAACCAATGCTCAGGAGAATATGCACAACTATTCCAGACAAATAGCAGAAATTTCTTCCTTGGGGGTCGTTTGTCTAGAAGCCATCCCCGATCCCTTTGGGCTATGCTAGACACCCTTCCTCTCTGCTCCCATAGCACCCAACACAAGGCTTTGGGCTAAAAGTATCTGCTATATTTCTTCCCTTCTAGACTATAACCTCTCTTTTATCAATTAAAATTTTTTGAATAGATCATGCCTGCCCATGGTTCTAAATTTAAAAGGTAAAGATGATGAATAGTGGAAAGCAAATTTCTCTCCCAACCCTGTCCCCTAGCTGTCTAGCTTTCCCCCATAGACATAACTGGAGTGACCACTGTTACCTGTTAACAGTTTCTTGCCTTTACTCGCAGTTATTTTAGGCAAAACAAAATGAAAGCATAGACTCATATTCTTTTTTTCATTTTATTTTTTAAAGACAAATGGTGGTATACAATGCACAGTTCTGCTCACCCGCCACTACCTTGGAGGTTGTTCTGTATCAGCACATACTGAGTATTCTCATTCTAACAGTTGCACATTATTCTGTTGTACTCTATTGGATGGCAATAATTTATTTTACCAGTCCCTATAAATGGACATTTAGGTTGTTTCCAATTTTTTGCTGCAATGAAAAACCTTGATCATATGCCAAATCACATATGTGAGAGTGAGCTATCTTTCTAGAAGTAGAAAAGCTTGACCAAAGTGTCAAAGGGTAATTGCAATTTTAATCTTCACAGATATTGAAAATTTGTTCTCCCCTAAGATTATCTGTTTATGCTTCAACTAATGAAACATGAGCGTGCTTATTTTCATGTAGCTTTGCCAACATACTATGTTTTCTAACTTGTGATCTTTACCAATAGGGAAGGTCAAAATGTCATCTCATTGTAATTTTTGAAAATTATTTTTTGTTGTGGTAAAATACACATGACATAAAATTTACCATCTTACTCATATTTTAAGTGTACAGTGGTATTAAATACATTCACATTGTTGTGCAACCACCACCACCATCCATCTCCGGAATTCTTTTCATCTTGCAAAACTGAAACTCTATATCCATTAAACATAATTCCCCATTCTTCTTTCCCCCTACCCCCTGGAAACCACCATTCCACCTTCTGTCTCCATGAATTTGACTACTCTAGGTACCTCATATAAGTGGAATCACACAGTCTTTGTCCTTCTGTAATTGGCTTATTTCATTTAGCATAATATATTCAAGGTTCACCCGTGTTGTAGCACTTGTGTCAGAATTTCCTTTCTTTTTAAGGCTGAATAATAGTCCACTGTATGGATATGCCACATCGTGTTTATCCATTTATCTGTTTATAAACACTTGAATTGTTTCCACCTTTTGGCTATTGTGAAAAAAGCTATGAACATGAATGTACAAATATCTCTTCAAGACCCTACTTTCATTTCTTTGGGGTATATATTTAGAAGTGGAATTATTGAATCATATGGTAATTCTATTTTTAATTTTTTGAGGAACTGCCGTACTGTTTCCACAGCAGCTGCACTATTTTACATTCCCATTAAAAGTGCATGAGTTCCAATTTCTCCACATTCTTCTCAACACCTGTCATTTTCTGTTTTTTTTTTTTTCTATAGAATCCATGCTAATGGGTGTGAGGTGATTCTCACTGTAATTTTAAAATAAATTTCTCTTATTATGAGTAAAAGCATCTTTTCAAATGTATAAGAGATAATATTTCCTGTTCCATGTACTGTCTGTACATTTCTTCTGCCTACTTTTAATTTGGGTCTTTGGCCTTTTTCTTATTTTTCATATTGATTTGTGGGACCTCTTTTATATTTTAAAAATCAGTGCTAATTAGTAACTAATTAGAAAATTAGTGCTTTGTGACATGAATTGCAAATGTATTCAGTTGCTGACGCACAGAGTAGGTGTTCAATATATGAACCTCATTCTTGCTCTTGATTGCTCTCTCCCCCCCCTCAGTGATTTCAATAGGTTTCAGAGCTTGAACGTTATCTGTTGGGCCAAAGCTGACACCACTCAATGGTAGAGCCTGGGAAGAGAGTTCTCTATTTGATTCCTGTGCACTTGCTCCTACTAAATCACCACTAGCATCCTATTTATCATTGAATCTGAGGACTGGAACATTTTGAGTCTGAATTCCACCTAATATAGGAACCTCCCATTGTTTGCAAACCAAAAATCAGTATGCTTGACCTAACCAAAGATCTTTTTTTTTCCTGGAGTGATGTGTCGAACAGGGACACAAAATCAAATTATATTTTGTTATAAACTTAACAAATCACCTTTAATTCAAACATTACATGAAATCAGTATGGCCCTGGGAAATCTTGGACAAATGGTCCCTGTAATTCACGCAGTAGGAAGGAGCACTGGGTATGACAAGGAAGTCAACACCATTTTTGACTTCTCTATGGAAACTCTCTCTTCCTCTGAGTGAGAAGCTGCCTCTCCTTAACTTCCTCTCATTGATACTGGTGTTGTTCTCCAGAACTACCCAGAGTAAGCATAACACACTTCTGCCAAAGCCCTTCAAGGATGTGGGGACAGCGATCAGGTCCCTCCTCAAAACCATGGCCCAGCGGTGACAGTCCTTCTCGAACAACTTCACTAACATTTATTTGGAGACTGTATACTGTCCTGGACAACACTTGGGACACAGCTTGTCAGACACCCTAATAAAATATGTGTTAAAATACTTGAGTTTGACATGATCCTCTTTTATAAAGTATCAGTGCCCATGTGAAGAATTTCTCTCAACTCCAGGCATGGTGTGTGTGTGTGAGGGTGGGGGGTTGGGTTAGGAAGCCAGTTTCTTCAATGTCGTTGGCTCTGAAGAAGAGCAGAAATGTCACAGCTTCCTCAGGAGTGCACTCTCAACCGCATCCACAAGTCACTGCTTTCTCCAGAGGGCCTGAGAAGTAGAAGCTCTTGCTCTTGGAGGGAGAGAGCAAAAAGGGGAATGGGAGAGGAAAGAACCTAAGAATTTACAGGGGGGATTCTCTGAGAGGAGATTTCTGTCAGCCGTGAGCAAAATAAGGCCTGTTGGTGGGTGAACTGGTCAAAAATCGAAAACGGGTAGCCTCCATGTAGCTGGAGGTTCACTTCAGAAACCAAAGAAGAGCACCCACCGTACATCCCTTTCCTTTACTTTATATGCCTGGCCCATCACTGAATGTTCCTGAGGGTCAGCTGGATGACTAATTATACTATTATTCCTCACAACAAGGTGGGATTATTGGCCCCCATGTTACACAGGAAGAAAGGGAGTCTCAGAGAGGTTAAGGAACTTGCCCTGGGCACCAGGCTAGTAAATGAGATTTAAACCCACACAGCCTCACTGTGTTCCTTTTAACACTGGTGTGGTTCCTTTAAAAGTTCCAGCCAGTTCCAGCCGTGCTTTGGGAGCAAGTGCAAAGGATGCCGATTCTACCCATTCTCCGGGTAACGGGGGAGCAGCACATCCCCGGGGCCGAGTGTGATGGTGTGATGGTGGCTCCTGGAATCAGAATGCCACACTCAAGGAAAGAAGCTGGGCTAGGGGTGGGAGGGGC